ATGCCAATCTTCTCTGCCAAAAAAAATCTCATTTATCAGGAGCCAGACGGAGTATTTATTATGCTACAGAGATCAGCAATTTGTTCAACTCAATAAAAATGTTAATAAAACTAAGAGCACACAAGAAAAATACTTATAGTCATCGACTGTCTCTCAAAATGTACAGTAAGGCAAAATAAATAACAAATTTGAAAGCAACAAACTAAATAAAGTGCAGGTCAGAGGTTGTAATGGGACTCATATAACACCTTGTTTTGTTGTAAACTTGGTCAAACTTCAGACCATGAAACAGCAGATAAATAAGTGATGACACAGTACTACGATAACAGACTTGTACTTAACAACACTATATACAGACTTATTATAAACATGAAACTTTTTAAACATTAATAATTAACGAATAATATTATCATTTTGTTATATCAGCATGCAAGTCTGACATGGGGGCATGCTTTCATTGCTTGCACTTCAGTGCCTGTCTCCTGTACTAACTCTCTCTCCTCCGCTACTCTCTCTCGCTCACCCCTCCGTCTCTTCGTCCGAATACAAACAGAGATAAAGAACGCAGCAATCGCTCTTGACACACAAATAGGTTAACACAATAAAGCCGGCTTTGCCTGGCTCACTCGAGGGAGGAAAGCAATTCCAGCAGCAGGCAGGAGGTAATAAAACAGAGCAGTGTGTGTGTCGCCGTGTGTGTGTTCATATATGTCCTCATGTCAGTGCTCCTATGTTTTTGTATGTGAGCCTAGCCAGGCGCATAGAAGCTCTTTGGCCGTAGGGCGTAATATCCTACAGATCTCCAACTCTTTCATGATACAAATAATAATAGTGAAGGGAAAATGACTGAAAGCCCATGCTTCTGCTCCATTTAAATTGGGGAAATGGAGGCTTTATTGCTGCAGTACATACCTGACGCTCACAAACTCATAAAAGGTTTACATATGGAACGTAAGGATAATGGCCTCTTGTAAATAGAACTGGTTAAAATTCAACAAATTTATCTGCAATTCTTCTGCTTACTCTGCCAAATGCTGACTGGGCTAGCAATAAATGATAAAAATCTACAGTTTTATTGAATTGTGTACAGCATTAGAGCTGAACTCAGGAAAATGGTGATGTGGCTTGTGCAATTACAATCCGGACGAGACAACATTGTTTTCTCCAGTCAGTGAAAATTTCATTACCTCACAGCAGCAGCCACCTTAGAATTGGGTAATAGCCTCTTTTTGTCACAGACACAAACCATCTGGGTAGGTGTGACACTCCATAAGTGTTTTCCATTTACAACAATATGCGGCCAGTCAGTGAGAGTGAGGGTCAACATTACATGAATAGTTATTTGATGATATGGTGACTTTAATGGAGATACTGACAGTCAATAGCTAATTCTTGCACAGACAGTTGGGTAAACAAATGCATTGAACCTTGATAGTCTTGTGCTTCTGGCATGACTCTCCTAAGGCTATTCTATAGACAGATGATGCAGGCCACACATGGCTCATCTATTAAATGTCAATAAACACCAACAAGGCTAGCTGATATCCTGACATGAGCTCCAATTAAAGTTTACCACATTTGTCCAAAGAGAGACAACCCCAACTGCCCAGTCCCTCCAATCCGGTAATCAAACAGCAAAGATGTAAGTGCTGTTTATTGTCAACAGGGAATAAATTACCTAAGCATGAAGAGAAAACGTCTTATCTGTCTGATGTATTTCCTGCTTCGGCTGAAAGCTACAAAGCCCGAGGGAAAGCAGTCGTCCAAAATGCAGGAGATAGAGATTAGGATGATGTGCGGTTCCTTGTTCCATTAAAGTTTGATCTTCCTCAATAGCCGAGGAGAATCAGATATCTCCCATTCAAGATTAAAGTACAGCGGCATAGAGGGAGAGATTAATCAGAGGCCTGCATGAGATAAAAACCTTGCTTCTGGCATGGAAAACAGTAGCAATAAAGAGTTCAGCTGATAATATGAAACATGGCCAGGCACAATAGCAAATCAAACAGTGCATATATGGGCCTCCAAAACAAATCAAAGGGCTGCTGAGGCTGCTGGTTGTGGCTGGAGCAGAAGGCTGATCAGATAGTGAGCACTGCCTTGGTTTTATTACAGCTTCAGGTTGGAGAGGGCACACTGAGATTTTCCTTTGCTACTCTCTGTCGCCAGGGTCTCTCTCTCTCTTCCTCTCTCCCTCTCGGCCGCCTCCACCTCTCCTTCAGATCAATGGCGCTGGGGTGATTTCACAGCAGCCTGCACTGTCACCCAGAACAAATCAATGTGACCATGAGGAAGGCAAGAGCGGCATTGTTTTTAAGGGGAGCAAATTTGCTGTTGGAAAGCTTGTCAGATTTGCTTTATTCTTCTAGTCCCCCCAAGAACTCTTTGGATGGAAAAAAAGCATGTCTTTTCTCTACACTTTTCCAGCTGGATCAAAGCCAACTATAAACTGCTCAGTGCTCATCATAACAGTGCATTACTCATTAACTACACAGACACTTATGTTTACTATGTACCCAAGAGGGGAAATGGACCCTAATCAGTTATAATGCAAGGCTATACATTAAACAAGAGGTAAAGTGAAGTTGACAGAGGTTTAAGAGGCTGAGTGGGAGGTGGAGATTGTGGCAGCATGTCATGTCAGTAAGTAGCTGGACAAAACCAGTTTGTTTGAGGAGAGGACAGTGGCACTCACATAAATACAGCACTCTAACCAAATATGAAGCTTTCCAGCAGCACCAGAAGTTTCTATGGTTTCAGTAATTCTGTACCATACATACATCTCATTAAAGTGTGGAGTCAGTGGGGAGGAAAATAAGTTGTTCTTTTTTGAGTTCACTACTGCTAAACACCACCTCATATGACATAAGATTTATTCACTATTGCTTTATGATGCAGAGTGCAGATGGCCAAGAGAAAACGGACACAAACAAGCAACACACTGGTAAGAATTTAAGCAAATGTCATGTAGATTTGTTATGAACAGAAAAGGCTACACCCTTTGCTAGTGTATGAGAAATGCTAAAAAGTGACTCCTTCCCCGAATAAGCGCTTTGATCAAACATCTAATGAGCTGCATTTGTAGCTGCTTTTGAATAAAAAGTTGCCTCTTATAATGTGCCTGAAGACATTTTGAACAAGGAGAGTTAAAGCTTTTCCAATATTATGACAGGAGGAAAAAACATGCTGCTAATATTCTAATGAACAAATGTGTATTTCTAAAGCCTAAAAAGTAAGTAAAACTCACTATTTCAACAAGACATACTAGTCAGCATTCTTCTATAGTTTTTACTACTTCAGGGTTATGAGATGTTTAACTCAAACCGACATATTAAGAGTCAAAATTAGCTCTGCTGCCTCGGGAAGGTGTGGAGGCAATTTAAACAGGGATTAAAAAAGATTAATACATGCAACAGGAAATTAAACTTCAGTATTCATGAGCTGAGTCCTTTCAGACAGGAAGTTTAATAACAAAAAATGATCAGATCAGTTCAATCTGGGCTCACACCAGTAAAATGCTGTGTTCTGTGAGACAGATGATGCATCCATAATAATATGGAACAATTGCATAATTGTGTTAAAAATGCAAGATATACAGAAAATATACATAGTTTAATATGGATACTTCACCTCTCTCTCATCCTCTATGGGATCTGAGCAGAGCATTACACTTAGAGGTCTAACCTATTATGAAAAAGATCCAACAGCAAGCCATAAAATAAAATAAAAGGAAAAAGGCTAAATAAGAACTCTAAAACATAATTCACTGACCTAGATATTAAAGCCTTTTGCCATGCAGTTCCCCGTGCCTTGTCCAACCTTCATGTTGAGTTAAGGCAAGCATTATGCTGGGGAGACTATTTGTTTAGGTGAGGAGCAGCCGCAGAGCTAATATGAGCACAATTTGCTCAGCAGGTCATAGGCGCAGAGTGGAAGAAGTAAATGAGGCAGTTCTGCCCCCTCGGGTGCAGCCCCTGCCTCATACATCACTGGATGTTTTATTCAATAGAGCCATGGAGGCTCTATGGCAGGTGCCCTGACTGTGGGGGCGCCTGGGCTGCTGTAGGGGCCCATATTACATTCAGTAAGCTGTCTGTCTGCTGCTGCCTGGGGAGAGCGACTGGGCCAGGGGAAGATGAATTCTGAGGATGCTTGTAGTCTAATGATAAAACATACTGTGCAGTTTTTTACTGCTCACTCAGCATAATGTGTAGCCTCATTTATGTGCAGCATGAGAGATGTAGCTAAATGCAAAGCAACCTCAGCAAGCCACCAGCGCAAAGTTCAACCGCCCCGACTTTATCTTCAAACAGATTCTATCCACAGACATGTCATCAGACTTGGATTGTCTGCGCCACACAAGACAAATTTGCAGGACAATTCACGATGTAGTGACATTTTGCCTATTGGCCAGATACCGGAACATCCATGATCCAAGCACAAAGGCAAAAGTTTTACCACTTTACGCACACGTCCTCGTGAGTTTTAATAGCAACGTGCAGTATGCCATAAAGGAGCCTTCAAGTCATTAACACTCCGCAGAGAGAATTCACTAATTGTGGCAGACAATAAACGACCCCCATATAAGTGGCGCACAGAGGCGACGCTACACTAGAGAGAATCACACCTTTTTCTTGTAGCCGCACTCTACTGGTGCCATATATTGTGCTTACGGCGCAATCCCCATGACAGTACATCTAATTGCACGCTGTACTCGAAACGACCAATATTACACATCAAAGCAGCTCCTATTGCCTATTGGAGCAGCTCTAACAAGTCGATTTTACAACACTTGCTTTATTGTGGGTCAGTCAGAATGACAAAGACGTTAAATCTAAGGCATCATTATGTGAACAACATCCTGGGAATACCTGGCTTTTCATCATTTAGGGCTCGTTTTACGAATGGGTTGAGTCTGATTGCCACCACACACGTGTCGTGGTCTTTACTTGTCTGAACTGGGATAAAAACAATACATAATATATATATAAAACATTTACCATAAATTGCTCCGTGGTGCAGGCTAAAACTCCATGCAGGTAGGAGCGTTCACTGGTCCTTCTGCCTCATACTTGTGTGGTCCAGATTAGAGGAGATGCATTCTAGAATCCCAATGGTTTGAATCAAACGTCGATCAAGTTTATCCTCCTTTTCCAGGGATATGCAAATGGAACTGGAACCCTGCGAATTAGATTCCACACTATAGCCTCGCATGCAAAGTTAATAAGCTTTGCCCTTTTCTACATTTGGTTCCCAATTTGTGACGAGGAGACAAGTGCGAGTCAGTAATTTCAGAGCTTTCTTGAAGCGCGCACGGTCTTCATCTCAGGAAGAAAGTGAAAGGTTGGAGCTCTTGTATAATATCCCAAAAGCACAGCTTTTACGCACGGATAAAGTGATTCATCTGCTTTGTTAAATTAGATAAACCGTATTTCAAATAAAAGATGCGGAGTAGTGAATGTACCCTGAAACCAAAGCTGGGCCAGAGCCTGTGAAATCCTGAAGTAAAAATCCCGGAGTAGCTTCCTGGCTCCGCACTTTCCTCTCCGCGGTGTCAGCAGCCGGTAGAGATGTTTGGACCTGAGGTGATGCGCCAAGGGGAGTGTGCGCCTCGACAGCAGCACTCCGACACTGGGGCTCGTCGTTCGGATAAATGGATACTGATGTGAGCAGCTAGCTCCAGCGGCCAGCTCCGGGATGCGGTCCTACCCTCGCGCTGAGCTGCCTAGACTGACAATAACCCGGAACGCTGCAGACTGTCAGCTCGCGCAGACCGCCCACCGACCAATCAGCGCACTCGGAGAATAGAAACATTCCCACGGGTTGGCCAATCATGGCTAATTGAAGGCTGTTACCATAGAGATGATCGGCGTCTGTGCGTCTGAAACCACGTTGTTTATTCATGGAAACAAAATAAGATTTTTAAGAACGTTACAGGAGGTAGACAGACCTAAATAGCATATGGGTGGTCATTTTAATTGTCTTTTTTTATAAATTAAGTTCAAGGTTAAGGGTCTAATTTGATTTTGAGCATTTTCTTAGCCTGTGACTTATGCCCATTGGCAGATATATCAAGGTTAGTTTGTGCATTTATGTGTCAGTAGGCAATGAGGCTATGTTTCATCATCAGTTTAAACCCTTTTGTACATAAATCACATGCAGGACTACTGTTGTGTTTAACTTGAACTTTTCATAACCTCACTCTTCATTCATTCTTAAATCAATTTATCATATATTTCGATCTTGTTAACTAAAATGCATTGTATGTGACATATTTGTGATGAAACCCATGGGTTATCAAAATTTCAACACATCTTTCCTTTTTCTTTTCACAAAGTAAGACATCAGCATGCAATTCACTGTGGTGGCGGTTCTTGAGTTCTTTTTGAGTGTGTGTACATGGAGCCAGGAGCCACAAAGGCAGTACAAGCAGCAATCACACATCATGGGCTCTCATAATAAGCTGACGCTGGGAAGTGGGTGATGCAGCACTCAGCTTATGCCAGCGCTGATAAGAGCCTGAAAGTATTACCTCGGTCTGGCAGGCCGCTCTAAGAAATCCATCCTGCGCCAGGTCATCAATTCTGCCCTATCTGATGGCTTACCAATCCCTGGCAGCTCCATGTCGCTGTCCCGTCTTATGCCTTTGAAATACTCTCTCTGACTTACACATTTATGTCATTGTTTCAACATATGGATCACAGACCGAACAGCTTCATACATAGATTAGCCTGTGAAGCATACATTAAAAGCCTGCAGAGCTCAATCATATCACCTACGCTGTGTGGCTGTATAGTCGATCAAACAGGCCAACAATTAATTGAAAAATACCCAGAGCAGTGCAGAGTGCAGATGAGGCAGGCAGGCAAATAAGCCATTTGATTAGCCGATAAGCAGATGACTCAACAAACATTCAAGGGATGTTTACCGAGGTTTGATTAGCGCACGCCCAATACACTGAAGATTGGACATAAATACATTGTGAAAACACTCAGCTGTTCCAATCCCCCAAGCAGCATGAGGGCATATAAAAACAATGAATTATTTATGGGAGAGACACAGAAAATATCCCAGTGGATAATTTTCCGTGGGCTATATTAAATGCACTTTTCAAAATAATATGTCTATGTCTTGCATTTTCCAGAAGCGATTCAAAGTGACAGGCCAGGAGATTGGAATATACTGTGCTGCCAAGTAACCTAAAGACCAATCAGGTGTGGCAATTGAAGCAACTACCTCTTAATGTTAGTCATGATGTTGCGAGTACATGGCTACTGAGCATCTTACTTAACAAAACTAGGAGGCACTGTGCACATCTGAACCAGCATTGCCCATTTAAATGAAGTTTGAGTATAGAAATTGATTGATACATCTATTGCAGAACAAGGATACACTTTATCTACTCAGATTAAGAACAAACTGATAATTTTACTATACCGATCACCAAGGCACCGATCACCTGTCAGTGGTGTTATGCCAGATTGGTATGCATTCCTCTGACTACAACATGCTTTTCCTAAACAATATGCTCAGTAGTTTAAAATGACGTATTTTGTGTTGAGTGCACTATCAAGCCCTCAGCCAATAATGGTTTCAAGTTGCCTTTAAGCTCAGCCCCTGTAAAAAGCACTTCAGTTTGGTTTGAGCCTATCATAAATAAAGTTTAAAGGAAACAGTATACCCTCATTCCCGGGGCTAACATCAGTCTGCCTTCAAAACTGAAAGCCATGCGCTGTTACAATTTGTTCCTCAAAGTGAACTCGGTTAAATTGAGCAAAGTTCAAGTCTCCACAAACAGAAAAGTAACAGGGCAAAAAATCAATAGCGGCAGAGGCATGGAAATAGAGATAGCATTGATTTATCTGCCATTGATTGGTGGGGATCGCTGCATTGTGCCCCCGGAGTGAAATGCATGCTGTCTGCCAACTGATGGGGATGAATCTGAAAAGGTGTCAAGTGGTTAGAGGACACTGGGGGTGGAGGAGGAGGGGTGAGGGGTACGCAGAGGTGGTAGAGGATGATGGAGCAACGGCCTAAAGTATCAGACAGAATAAGGCCTTAGATGAAAAAACTCGATAAGAGGAGATTATGTTGCAGTGAGCTATGCCAGGGTGACTCTCTAACGGGCTACTGTGTTAAATGTCTTTGACAGAGGCAATAAAAAAGATCACAGCACTGACAGCAGTTGGCAAAGGGCCTCAAGCTTCATCCATCAAGTAAAATTAGCTCTGATGTGCGGAGGAGTTTTGTTATCTTAAACAAAGCTGGCCCCTGATTGGACTCTTCACACAGCTTCAGTGTATATCTATGTTGAAACATGAGAGATAATATGCAATATAGTGGATTACTGTAATTGCGGTGTCTCTACAGACTTTGCACTGAGAGCCAAACACTGTGGAGACAGGAGGAGGCCGGACAAAGATCAGAGGGCAGAGCGGTCACAGCAGACAGAGAGATACTGCTCAACTTTGCTCCATTTACAACATTCGTCTGTGTCTTCTCCGGCAGCTGGCATCCTCCCATCTTTACAGGAACTGAGCCGTGTCTTCTATTGCACCATATGACCATAAGACTATGGAGCAAAGCTTGCAAAACTTGAATGTTGGCAAACAAGCAAAAAAGAAACATCTTGCAGCATTGTGTTCAGTGCCTACTTGACTTTGTGCTACTTTGATACTAAATAACTTCTGCATAAGAAAAAAGATAATGAAGGATGTGTATATAATGGAAATTTCAAAAGTAAAACAAAACAATTAATATCCTTTAAAGTCTTTATGTTGTCAAAGTGCCAAGTGACAGTGTAGGCAGACAGTGTTTGCTTGCTTTGTTCCTTCCTTTCAAAGAGCAGCTGCTTTGGGCAGGTCTGCCAGAAACACAGCCATCTTCCTGTTGTTGGAGACCCTCACATGTCATACAGACCTCTTTGCACACAAAGCGCTGTAAGGTCTCCACTGGTGTGAGTGACAGGTGAGGCCCATTCAGTACACTTAGTCAGGGGACAAGGCCCTTTTAAAGTCAATGCACAGGACTTATACTCATAAGACTATAATAAACATGAGAATCTCTGATATGAAAAACAACAGTTGGAGATGGGACTGTTATTTCAGCACAAACTGATTTCGCAGCCTCACAGTTCTGCTTCACTGCAGTGACACAATAGATACAAACAGAAAAGGGAAGGGAGTTAAAATGTCATGTTGTCTTGTTGGTATGGTGATGATGGACACTATTGTTCCACAGTAAAACTGCACAATGGCCTTTTAAAAATTTCAAAGGATTTTGCATACTGATTTCAACATGTCTGCGATCATCTAAATCTGTGCCATTTAAGACTTCTATACCACAGTGTTACTTCATGGTCAGATAGTATAATGTATTGTATTGCATATTGAATAGAATTTTCTCATTTCATTGCATGCAGCAGCTCGTTGAGCATGTTCCATGTCTCTCCATCTCAGTCATTCAGGCTCCAGTGGACAGAGGGACCATCATCCTCTGCTCTGCGCACTGCTCAACTCGGCCCAATTTTGCACCTCCGCTCACAAGTGATAGAGCACTATCAATCCTGACAGCTCCCCAGAGCCACAGGCATTTGAGCTGCCTACTCCTCAAACACACATAAGGTTGACTCCGTGCCCTTACACATTCAGAGTCTTTTGTTGTTCTAGTTTTGAAAAAACAGCAATACAAAAGTCCACATGATATAGTTCATTTGATGTTATATACAAGTAACAAGCACACCTCAGTAATCTGTGTTTGGACGGGGATTGTACAACTTAATCTAATGCAGTGGTGGTTTCAATAGTGCCCCTGAAAAGAATGGCTAAAACAACTGGGTTAATATGCTACGAGGGATGGTTCTACACAAAAGTTTCATAAACAAAGGTGGAACAAATGCTGTAAAGAAAGAATCCGAGGAGACATCCATTGAAGGATAATGGCATATAGTTTGTCCCTAGTTCCATTATTGTTGTGTGTTTAATTTGAAAAACAGACAGCTAATCACATTAGAGACAACCTCTCTACAACACTTGAGCACTGCTTCTCCTGAAAGTAATCACTGCGCACTGCGATCTGTCTCATTGGATTCCGAGTCCAATTACTTAAAGCCTAACAAAGTGCTGTTGATGCCACTGAATCATTATCTGGAAATACAAAGACATTTTTAAATGTAGACAACATTCATACAAGGAACATTAACACTACCAAAATGACTATAATGATGGTTATAGTAGAAAAGATTATAAGCAAATATAAGGACATCCCAAAGGCAAAATACTCCATCCATAAATGAACACTTTGGACACTAAATGAGGGAGCAGGTTAAACGTCTGTGTTGGAAGCTAGTTAACAATCCCAGCAGGACTTCCGAGCTCAAAGCACAGAGTATGAATAAGATCAGAGAAATATCTGGAAAGCAAGGTCTTAGGGGCAAAGATTTCAAACATGCAGTCACCTCACGAGGGAGGCAACCAGCCGAAATAAGCAGCATGCAATTAGCCCGTGTTAGAGGTGGCTTTGTAAAATTAAATAGCCCGTTTCCCATTTCAGCATGACATAATTGACTTTCAGAGTGATTTGGTGTAAAAAAGCAGGCAGTGAATGAGCTTTTAGTCAAATCCAGGTGTTCATTTACATGTGACACGGTGGTTAAAACAGCTCGGCAGACTTAGGCAGAGGTGAACACTTGCTTTATAGATGCTGGACTGGGTTTT